ATGAACTGGAGAGGGAGGTCGGTCCATTTTGCTAGCCAGGGTCCCGGGTTTCGTTCCCACGGCAGAGGACGCGGCTCGTCGCTGCAGGATCTGGGAAGTTAGTTAGGGGGTTGTGAGATTGATCGAAGTGGGTTATGATGGTCCATACAATTATCAGGAGACCTAGAGAAGCGGCTAATAGTACCGGGGGGCATGGAATTATCGAGACTGGAATCTGGATGGCCATAGTTGGTTACCTGCGTGGTTCTCGTAGCGGGCAAAGAGACCAGGGGACAGTGAGGCCAACGTGTAGGCGGGGGTTAAGTGTTGACCTGACGGCTACGTATTCGATCAGGACCAATGTTCCTACCTGACGCAAGGGCAACAATGGCCAGAGAGGTCGAGAATCTGCGCGCGTTGTACTTTGTACAACATGCCGATTCCTTCAGAGCATCATGTCACGATCTTCATTCCATCAAGATGATAGATATGCCTAGGTACATGCTCTGACGTAAGTGTGGGCGGGGGAGGGCAAGGCACATCCTCTTGCTGCATAGTGGTTGTAATCTGTGTCCTTTGTTGCATAATGGAACAATCCACCCACCCTAGTTGTGCTGTTAATAAACAGAGGCATAGAAATAGTGCCAGGAGTGTATAGGCAATTACAAGTAAATCTGCTTTAACCCTGGCCCTCCCTAGTTCACATCAAGAGGTGGGGTCAACTTTGATATTCGATCCAAGAACCATCTACCTATACAGTCGAATATCATGGAAAAAATGCCTGTGTCTCTCGTGGGAAGTGTTAATTTCTCCATCTTTGGAGACCAGGCCGGTAGTCGCCCGGCGATACTTTCGGGGCTCACGAACACTTCTTCTCAAGCCCTCTACAAACAGGATTTGTCGACAGGGTGAGTGAGGCGGCCCTGCGAGCATACGTGAACCGATTCCCTGCCCAAAAGACGATGGCAGATTTCCCGAATTACAGAATTTACGAGATCTTGTCCGCATCGACCTTGCCAACGATGGAGCATGCCATCCTGCTATCGGCGGCGTAGTTGTGTGCGCTGCCAGCTTTTACAACTCTTCAGGTATGTTCCTACATGATGGGTACGAAATGCGATACATGTCTCTAGACCAGCTACTGACAGTTGGCGTCATTTGAACTATTTAGCATCCTGGAACAATATCACATCAGCGTTTGGACACCAGATTCCTGTTTTATTTAGTAAAGCGCCTGCATAGCTAATCGCTTGAATAGATAGGCTTCAGCAGATTAATAGAATCTTAATTACTTAATTGATTGATTGATTGATTGATGATACGACCATCGGTATGAAAATCTACTAGACAGCTAGCTACTGAGGAAAGATTAATCATCTCTTCAAGAATGCCTAGCAAGAGTGAGGTCGATGAAGCTCAAGATATGCGTCCTATAGATCCAGCGCTCACTCCAGTTGGGCTGCGTGTACAAGTACCATCGCGCTGCAGTGATCTCATCTCAATTCATCTTTACCAATTGGTGGCCAATTACGGATCGCAGACCGTGGCGTGGGATGTGGCTCTTAGCAACATGAACCAGCCGTTGCCTCCACCTGGTGACAAAGTTCTTCGAGACACCCGGGATATCGACGCTCACAAGTTGATCGCCATCTTGAATCACCTGGATAGCTAGAGCGGTAGTGAAGCCACGCTCATATACCTTCTTCCCCACAATTGGAATGGAATACATATATGAATTTTCCCATCCACCGTCCTGGCACTGCATCCTTTTCAATTCCTCTAGATCTCGGGAATTCTTAACGCCCATGGAAATGCACACGGTAAGCCGGAGGGCAAGGTTAATGGAGTCACCCTGGATGCCAATATGCTCCTGGACACGGTTCTTCAGGAGTGGCCTCCATTGCCGTTTCAGAGCAGTGTCATGTGCGGCTTGTCGAAGGAGACGGTCGCACCAGAACAGAAACCATTCCGGGGTCTGGTAGTAGTAGGAGCCATATAGGTATGCTCAGTGCAACAGAATGTGATATACCCAATCCCGAGTCCGCCCGAGCTGGTGGCCGCGTTTGTACTTATAGAAGGTAGTGAGGACATTGAGGCAAACGACGGGATCAACTCGCGGTCGTGTATGATCGAAGTACACCTTAGGCTAAGCGTTACTATAACACAGCGATTGTCGGGTTGATTTGCTTGGCAGATGTACCTGTATAATTCCGTCTTCGTTCACATACTCTAGCATTTGGTCGAGTAACTGATGTGCAGTGGAGTCATCCGGGGATGCGACCTGGAGGGCAAGGGACGTAGTGTCGAGGTCATTTGGTGGGTTCATTTTGGTAAAAGTTGGCTGTTCTGCGAGACGTTAATTCGAGGCCACCGCTAAGATTTAGGAAGACTACCTATATAGTAGTTCCATGTTTTTTCTTTGCCTGCTGGTATCTGAAGTTCAACCAGATTTCTGAAAATAAGTTATTCCATCTATATATTTAGGATCAGGAACTTACTTATCCTGAGTTGCCTCCAAGATTAAAAGCTGCAAATAATTTTCACGAAGCATGGTGCCGTCCTCTGTGAACGGGTGTAAATGCTTCGCGTTGTGTTGGAGAAAACGAACCGCCCTCGGAAGGGGTTCACCCAGCATAATCTCAATGGATTGAGTGAGGCTCTTCGTTAAGCTGAGGTTGACGACGCGTATCCCGAGTAAGCCAGCCGCAGTCAGGTTCTTCACGTCCTTGTCTAACAGGATTGCGTTGCGCGGGCTGCTAGTGGTGGAAGCAAGTACGCTCCGATGAAAACCCAGCCCGGGGGGGAGTAAGCCTATGTCAAAGGACGTGAAAACTGCATCGAACGTGGAGAAGAACTCGTCAGTCCAGCGGTCACGCAGTCTTTGGTAATTAGGCCGGGCGAACTTCCATATCCCAAATATCCTCAAAGATGCCCCATATGCTTCCCGTAGTTGTTGCACCCTCATCAGCATATCGTTGTCATAAGCCAACGTGGCTAGGGTAACCGTTACAAGTTCCTTCAAGTCGGTTGGATTAACACCAAACTGCTCACCCAACATAGCAAAGCACTGCTCCTCCTCAAGCTCTGCGCGTTCATAGGCCATCCACGTTGAAGTTGACACCAATCGTCTGAAAGAAGGAATCGGGCCGGGTTCACTGCTATCCTTCACTTGTTGGGGAACTGTAAGTAGCGCCCCCCTCCCCCTATATCAACCAATATAGTAGTAACTCTGGCTGATGAGTTGCCCATGTTGTGAGTATTAAGAAAACTTGGACGCTAAAAGTTTCGAAGAGACCTTTTGAGGTATGATTCCGGTCACGCTACTTGGTCAGAGAAGCGTTTTGTTCAAAGCTCTGTAGTCGCTTCTCACGATCCTCGCAGCCTCACACTTTAATCCCTATCATAGCAACATGGTACGGGGTCACTGATAGCGCCAACATCGGTATACTTCAATTATTGGATAGTTTCGCGTCTTTTCTTTTCTTCGACTGTGTCACTCAGCAAACAGATGTGTATTCGCGTGCATGGCGGGCTGTACTGGATGATGTGGCCAAAGTGGTCATTCGATGCATTGACCCTGCTCAGCGGTGCAGAATCTGTCAATCAGGCAAACTGGTGTATTATTCTGCTGTTGTATTGGAAAGAAGGACTACTGAAGGGGACAAACATACATACAGAACGTCCACCTCCCCTCTGGCCGCCTCTCTTTGGTAAACACTATTATCAACCCCGAACCATTGCAAATTGATCCAGCAATCTGCGCCAGCGTTCAGAAGCACCCACGGCACTTGATTGGAACCAGCTGAGCACTACCAGCTGATAAACATTAGTACTATCCCAAACCTTCTAGGTTCATTGCTCGCTGCGGTGAGAGGCCTTAGACAGGCCTGCCGCCCGGTTTGAAACCACCCTGGCAGTTGCCAGAAGGCCATGCGAGCATCGGCTGTTGCTCTACTATGCGCTATTTCCCATCTCATATCTCCGGTGGGTAGGTTGGATTATGCATGATACCTGTCGTGATACGTCTGACAGCAAATGCTATAGTTCAGCGTACTGTGTGGTAGAAGAAAACATGATGTGCCCTGGGTTAACGTGGCTTTGAGCGACAGAGTCCAAATGGACCATAACCTTACATTTACGTATAGCGAGCATTACTCGCGTATTTCGATATCTTAGAAGTACAGGATAAGGAAGATATGTGGCACATTAACACCAGAAGCGCAAAGTGATACTTTAGGTGGCACAAGGTTTACCAATATGTCGGGCGATTTTCCTCACCATGCCCAATTTGCTAGGCAGTGTAGCATCTGATAGATACTTGCAGCGTATTTGAAGATCTAGGTACGAAAAGGTAAGACTACGAGCGCCTAGAACAGTATAGTATTTCTCAAACGATGGCAATTGTCACAATCCTGTAATGTATGTCATTCTGTATTGAAAAGTTGTCCCTCAAGAAGCTCTCAATAGTGTTGGAGGAGTTCTGGAATATTGCACTCTGACAGTTTATAGCGCGGCAATCCATGGATAGCAACACAGCCCCGAATGAAAGAGTCAACGTAACGCAATATCTTCGGCTCCGAAGACAACACTGATCGTACATTGCCAATACACTCCACCGCCCGCTTAGCTATCTCATCCAGGGCTCTGGCAATAACTACTCCACGTGCGACGGCAGAGTTGTAAACGGAATTGTTTCGCTCAGTGGAGACGATGGATTCTTTGTAGAACGACAGCAGATCATTCACGACGACCGAAATCCGAATGGCAAAGGGGTCAGGCTTCGAGAGCAGTAGAAGGTATGCAAAGCGCATGCCAAAGAAGCTCAGCGCGTACGCAATCTCATAAGTTTGTCAGATCCAGGAAGCGAGACCATAGCAGAACCTAGTATGGCAAGGACACATCGGGAGACTGATTCTCCTTTTCCGTGTTAGTCTGGTCTACATTCTGCTACCGCCCTTGCCATCCTATGGGAGCAGCATGTCGCTTGATTTTGCAGAGCCTTACATTTGCTCTATATAATCCTGTCTTTGGTCCTCTCTAGCACATACGACCACAGGGTGTGGAGAACAGGGCTTCCCGTCCGCTCAGCCGTACTTAAGCCACACGCCGGCCGGTTAGTAGTTGGGTGGGTGACCACCAGCGAATCCCGGCTGTTGTATGTTTTTTTTTTCCCTTTTTTTATTAGATTTAAAATCTCGAATTCGTGTTTTTAGGACTATGGTTATTTCAGATATCAGTATGTGGTGGCTCTGCATTAGACTGTTGAGACTGTCCATCCATAACCTCATAAGTCTGAACTACGCTATATCCCCCCTAGCGCGGAAAGCACACCCACAGAGATACGATATCCTACACATGGTGACCTGGCGCCTAAATTGCTATATGAATAACATTGGCTCCGTGTAAGCTTTCCGTCTTTTACTATTTCTTTGGGGCATTACTAAGTCCTATTTCTCCAAGTGTCGGTAGATGCGGTCCGGAATAGGGACTTTGGATGGTTCAACATGTGCATATATATATATATATATATATATATATTAACAACAGAAGCAACCTGGCTTGATCCTGTTATACCAGAGACAGTTTGTTACTGATCACTGCCCATTAAACCATCTGGACGCCTCCTACTTCAATGCAGCACATGGACATATGTCCATATATGTGAAGGCACGGAGGGGTCTTCTGTGACAGGAAGATGGTGATTCTCCTGGACTCTACTAACACCCTCGCAAGGAGTTGTCCTTTGCACTGCATACACCTATATTGCTAGGGACGACCATTGTACATCAGCTTCTTTTCATAGTCATCGCTTGGGTAATCGAAGCGGGCCATCTCGTCAGCAGTCAAAAACCACCAGGAACCTCCAATTATCTCCTCCAACTCATGGCCCTGCAAACATCCTTAAGGGGTCCGGGCATTTCAATGGGGCTCTACCTGCCAACCAATGTGTCTATTGCGCTACCAACAGTGCCATGGCACCTCGTGTTAAGTGAGGTAGAACATATGGCTGCGGACTCAGTTTGACACTACCTAGGTGCCACTACAGGTGCTGTGAACGACATGTCTTCACTTGGCGAATGTCCAGTCTGACCACATCAATGTTCATGATAGAAATCGATTTTGGCCCCGAAGCATCTGACATCTTGCCCCAGCAGGAGCAGTAAGACCGCCGCAATAATCCGAGGTATCAGTAGCCCAGTACTACTCATGCGTTTGGGTCTGGGAACACCGAAAGGCCGTGTATATCCGAACGAAACGTATTCTGCAGGTGGTACTAGTTGAATAGGAGTCTGAAGGGATTCCTATTCCAGATTGTACCCGCACCTGAAAAATTTGTCTCGCAACCTCAAGCGTCGAACCCCCAAGCACGCTAGGAAAAAAGCCCCGCAGGCCCCGAATATCGCCGATAGCGGCAAGTAACTCCGACCTTAGGGCTGGCCGGGCGCGAACGGTGGGGTTTCAGGGTGAAACCTGCCGAACTAAGATCTGCTCCAAACACTAGCCCTAACTTAATGCCTATTCTTAGGTCTCGCTCCAAGGACAAAGCTATCTACAGTTCGAGTAGCTTACGGATGAAACAGGCCGGAAAATTCGGAAAGACACCTGATCGCCTCGATAGAACTCAGGGGGAGGCTATTCACTCTCTACGACGGTCTGGACTCTCGCAGATCATCCTCGCAGCATCCGATCTGAGCTCTGCCCCAAATCGGAGAATTCTAAGACACGGAGAAGTAGATCGAGGTGGCCCGCTTGCCTACGATATTCCTGTGCTCGAGTGGCTCTGAAAGTTGCTGTTGGTGGTGAAGATGGGAACTGTGCAGTGTTTCTCGTCCTCATCTAGGGCTAACCTGATGATGCCGTTGAATGTATTAACCACTCTACTGTTGGCGATGTTCAGTGTTGCGGGAGGAACTACTGAAATTGAACCCTGGCACCTATCTCCAAGTGCAACGACCGGAGAGGAATATGACCTTGACTCTAGTGCGTTTCAATCACCCACATCAGTCTGATCTATGAATAACTCGTTACTCTACAGAAGAAAGCGATGCCCACTTCTTCGACAGGAGTTCTGCTCCAGATCCCTCTCATCCCCATGCAACATACCATATTTGGAATCATCGAACCATGTACCCACCCAGAGCAACCGTGCACGTTTGAGATGGGTCGATTGTTTGGCTCAGATACCCCCGGACCAGCTCCCTCGATCCGCGACATGCCCTATACGGCTGTTCTTACCACAGAGCCATACCAGGAACCATGACATGCACTGAGACAACATGAGTCGCCAAACAACGGGGGTTTCATCACGAACCTGTTCATGAAGATAGTCGAGCAACGCGACGAAGACCACAACCACAGCAGACGGAGAGAGCATAAATAGCTACCTCATCCTCCTCGACAGCTCTCATCCCATCTCATCCTCATCAACTCTCCTTCTTCATTCTTTCACACAAACCGCCTGTGGCGTTGACCTTCGTTCTTACTTTTCCTTATACCTATCTCTTATCTTACATTCTACTTTCGTTCATCAAAATGCGCTTCACCAAAGTCTCCGCCGCAACCCTGGCGACGACCATGTCCGTCTCCGCCTTCCCAATCCCCTGTCTTCTCCCCCTCCTCAACGGCGCAGGTAGCCTTCTGGGAAGCGGCGGCCTGAGCGGAAGTCTGAGCGGAGCTCTCAGCGGCAGTGGCAGCGCCGACGCCGGTCTGGATACTGGTTTCGGCGCCGGAGCCAGCGGTAGCGCCAGCGGCAGCGGAAGTGCCAGCGGACATGGTGGATTTGGTCTCGGAATTGGGGGTGGCCTGGGCGCCGGAGCGTCTGGCACTGCCGGGCTCGGTGGCGGCTTCGGTCTGGGTGCTAGTCCTACTGCTAGCGCTGGTCTTGGCGGCAGTGCTGGGCTTGGACTTGGTCTTGGAGGAAGTGGAAGTGCTGGAATTGGAGGAAGTGCCAGCGGAGGTGCCGGCGTTGAAGGTTCCGGCGGCGCTGATGTTGGTGGAAGTGCCAGCGGTGGTGTTAGCGGTGGAGCCGGCATTGAAGGCTCTGGCAGCGCCAGTGGCAGCGCTGGTGGCAGTGCTGGTGCCGGTATTGAAGGCTCCGGCGGTGCCGATGTTGGCGGAAGTGCCAGCGGCGGAGCAGACATCGGAGGAAGTGCTGGTATCGGGGGTTCTGGCAGCGTCGGTGGTGGTGCCAGCCTCGGCGGCAGCGCAGATCTGGGAGCTGGTGCTGGACTTGGTGGCAGCGGCGAGGCCGGAGCTGGAATCGAAGGCTCTGGTGATGCCGGTCTGAGTGGCAGCGCTGGGATTGGAGCTGGTGCTGCAGGTGAAGCTGGTGGACAGGGTGGCGTCGACATCCCCATTCCTTCGGTCTCTGCGTCTACGTATCCCACCGCCACGACTACTTGGATCAGCGCTACCACCAGCGTGAGTCTCTCGAATGGCGGTGCCAGCGGTAGCCTCGAAGCTGGCGGCAGCATCGGTGGAAGCGGTGGCTCTGGAGCCGGAGTTGATGCCGGTATTGGAGCTGACATTGGAGCCGGTGCTGATGCTCAAGGCGGTGCTGGAGTCGGCGCGGGTGCTGACACTGGAGCCGATATTGGAGCTGGAGCAGGGATTGGTGCTGGAGCCGATATTGGCGCTGATACCGGAGTCGACGCTGGAGATGACACTGAGTCCGGATCCGAATGTGACGATGACTCTGGCGACGATACTGAGGCGGGCACTGGAGCGGATGCTGGGGGTGACACTGGAGCTGATGCGGAAGGGAGCGCAACTGCTGGAGCCGGTGCCAGTGCAACTGCATCAGCCGACGCGCATGCCCACGGCAGTGGAAATGCTTCTGCCAACGCTAGTGCTGGGGCCTCCGCTGGTGTTGGCGGTGATGCCTCTGCTAGCGCTGATGCGCAAGCTTCTGCTGGTGTGAGCGGTCACTAGGTATGTCAAGCGAGACACAACTGGTTGTGAATGCACGCAGCTAACACAATGCATAGATGCTACCAAGGACGTCTCGGGGAGAGACACCGCGAGCATGGATGGACGGATGAGATGTTTCTATACATGGGAGAGTGGACTTTACTGCCATTCGTTTTTTACTATACTGTCTAATACTGTCATTCCTTATAATTTGTGATATAACTGTGATTTCAGGCCAGTCAGCCATAATATTAATTACTATTCAGCCTGCTTCTGTTTCTGTTCATCTGCTCGACCTTTCTTTCTTTTCTTTCTTTTTTTTTTCCTTGGTTGCCATATTCAATTTTTTGTATACCTTACGGGGACTGGAACGTAGATATCTTGCAGGAGCGAAGAAACGAAAGTCCTTCGAGATTCTGTAAGAAATGTATGGAAAATCGGAGTATATCTTCGGAGCGAAGCCAGCCCAGCCCAAATTCTATCAGTCAATACATGTAATGGCATGGGATAGTGGTAGCGCCAGGTAACGCAGAGGAGATAATGGCTTACTGATAAGCCAGTTTAGTTGTGACTTTCGCTTTCGATATGGCTGTACGCCGATTTCTTTTGTCTCTTCTATAGGTATGGGTTATGGACTCTTCAGAACGCTCGGATACTATTCATGCTGCGCTTGGCGGAGCGCCTGCATAGTAATCGCTTCGAAAGAAAGGCTATATATATCAGGTGAATACAATCTTGATTGATGATTTATAAATGGTTATAAGCAAAGAAAGTCCAAAATTATAGAAAGACTTAATTCAGATCCTAGCCTTAGAGAGGGAGCGACAATACATAATCAGATGTGAGGCAAATCCAAGTGAATGCTTCTCTGCCTGTTGGCTGAATGAATCTGCGACACTAATTTTACTACCTCTTGCAATATACAATGTCTGTTACCAGAAAGAGGAACTTCCATATTCTGATAAACTAGACTCGGTACTACCTTCACCCCTTTCCTAAGCCCACCATCCCTCGGAAGCTGCGAGAAAAGTTCTCTTCCCGAAGATAAACGGGGCACAAGGCTTATAAGGCGGAGATAATTGCGTTGTAAGCAGCCTTGGGCTGGAAGTTGCTATCAAACAACAAAGGCTTGTCGTTCGAGCGCCAGGAGTACTAATACAATGATTAGTTGCCAGCGGCATACAGCGTTTAGTGTACTTACCTTATCAGAAACGCCCCAGACAGTAATTCCAACACATTTGGAGACACTCAGGCAGGCGTTCACAACCTATCACTGTGAGAAGAGTCTCGGCATCCAGACAAGTCCGTCACTTACGTTCACGTAGTCAGTAGAGCTGGCACCAGCAATGTCAAGCTCAGTAATGGCGACTTCGGAAACACCGGAGGAAGCAAGAGTGTTCAAGGCAGTAAGAGGATGTCAGTACCAAGGTTCCAGCGAGTGGGAGACAGGAAGACTTATTCTTTAACGGTCCAGGATCCGCCAGAACTAGGGGTTCAGTATTAGTACAGCATACTCTAGACAGGTTGGTTGGGGAGTTACCCAAGATGGGTCTGGGATCCTGGAAGTTGTCAGCGGATATCTTTAACATTAAGTATATACTGGCGTTCCTCACCGATTCCGTCAATTGGAATACCCTGTGAGATCCACTTGCGGACATGATCGGCCATTCCCTTGGTCTTTGCGTAGTTGGCATTATCGAGGCTAAAGCATGTCAGCCAGGTCCAACCCCTGTTCCTTAAACGAGCTCTTACTTGTAATCATTGATATAGAGCTTAGCCTGGGGATCAACCGACCGGGCGGTCTCAAAGGCAATGCGGACAAAGTCCTCGCCGAGGACGTTGTAGAACACACTCTTTCGCAAGGAGCCATCCTCGTTGAAGATCTCATTCACCACGTCCTACGGTCGTCAGTGATGGCACGAGATAGAAGCTGTAGATATTCGGATGCATCACATACCCATGCATAGATCTTGCCTTTGTAGCGCTGCATGACGGTGGTGATGTGGTTCTTCAAGACCGAGGTCAACGTATTCTTGTCCGTGATGCCCTGGACCCATCCCGGAAGCTGGGAATGCCACACTGCAAGAGGTCAGTCATAACTCAAGCTCAAGACTCTCATCCACGTACCTAGAGTGTGACCACGGATCATCTTGCCGTTCGATGTGGCGTAGTTAACCTGCTCCTCTCAGCATACACGGCACAACCATGACCCAACGTAGACACGAACCAAGTAATCAGCACCACCAAAGCTGAACTGACCGCGATTCGCTAAAAAATGGTCAGGGTTTCAGCAACAAAACAGGCTGCAGGATTCGACACTCACGCTCAGTCGCATCCCACTTCATGCTGTTTTCCGGGGTGAGCTGTCCAAAATCGGCCTTGACGATGGCCGAGTTGGTCGAGTCGGACAGCGTGCCCTGGTCACCACAGGTGCCAAAATACTTCTTGCCTTTGGCTTTGAAGGCATTGTTGATGCTCGCAGCCGCCTGGCGCTCGCCAATCACGCAAGCAGAGCATGCTGCTGAGGTCAAAAGGAATCCTGCAAGAACAGTAAGACGAACCATTGTGATTGTGGGAATGTGGATGTTGGATGAGGTGCTGGATGAGCAGTTGCTGGTGCTCGACTGCGCTCTTTATAGTGGTCTCAAGGCACGTCCATTGTGATCCCTAGGTTTAGGCTAATGGGTCCGAGTCGCTATTTCGATGCGGATTCCATCCCGCACCAAGAGCAAGACAAGAAGATGGCGTGTTACATTGCATTTTTGTGGCGGTTCTTCAGGGCTGTCTGAAGAACGCCAGTAGAGCGCCATGTGATGTCTGAGATGGATTTAGACACGCTAAGCCTAGCTCAGTTATATTAAGGGTCCAGAGCCGACTCAGGGTCTCGCGGTGTTTTGTCGGGAATCCAGCCACGCCATCCACTCTGCTTTATAGTGAGTCAGACTTGATGACTGAGGCCAACTGCGTCGTCGAGGACAGTGAAAGTGAGAGCAGAAGAGTGTCTCGATATTGGAACTCTGAGTAGTTTCAGGCGGAGGTGACAGGGAAGTACAATAAGTATACTGCCAAAACGCCAATGCGCGACAAGCAACTAACACTTGGACGAGACATTCATCATAAATGAGCCAGCATGCACAAAGGACATTATTCGGCAAATATGCGGAGACATCAACGTGTCTACCGGTGTGGCTTGCCAAGGAGACTGATTCTATCCATCACGGCACTTGAAACACTCGGCGTCGGATCAGGACTCCGTGGCGTGGAGCACGCATATCACCCAGCCCATGGAATGATTATTATGGAAATGTTCGGAAGATCTCCGTTCGCACCAACTCCCTAGAATCCCGTTGTGGAAAGGAGAAACCTTGGCCTGGGCTTAGTTTGCTTCAAAAGATGATCCAGCACTCCGGTGGGTATACCCGTAATAGCCAGGCTCAACAAAATGGTTTCGTGTACCACTCCATAGTGGACGGGAGATGTGCAGGGTGATAGACTAGGTGTTAATCCTAAGGTGCCCAGGTAACAATTTACATGACCAGGATCATCTGGCTAAATCTCGACAGTTTCTCCTCATTATATTTATGCTATTTAGTTGTTGTTACGTGATGGATTCTCCTTATTTTCGACGGGCCGAACATGTAGATCTGCAAGTAGTCTAGGCACGTGTAGCAAGTGACGAGCCACTATGCAGCCACTACTTGCCTTAGGGCCATACTATCTCGTGGTCCTCGACCACGCGAGCACTGGGCATCCATTCGGCTTGGATGGAGCCTGGGCTGGGCCCCTATACTCCGAAGTCCTGCTCCGTGCAGATCACCCTAGCAGCGCAGAAGCAAAGCCGGTGCGACCGGAGCAAGGCCTCAGAGAATGGTTTAGGATAAATAGTGCATATTAGCCAGAAACAAATTCCGCCGGACAATTGCCGTTCTAGCGTCGGTGCAGGCTGATGCTGCAGAAACCCCAGAGTACCAGGGGTGTCTACGGAAAACAGACTATGTACAGCATCGTCTTGGAAGGGGGAATCTATAGACATATCTCCTGAAAACTGCATAAAGTCATCGATGAGGCTAGAAGTCTCCCTGTGGGTCTTGATCACTCTGTGCGGGTTGACAGATTTGGTACCTGTAAGGCCATCACATACTTGTTCCACTATAAAACACAGCAGTGTCAAAGCAATTTCCGCATATTCCCAGGATTGTCGATGCCGGCAGTTGTCGTTGCCGAAAGCTCCAGAATGTCTAAGGGAACCGCCTCGGACGTACCTCGGAGTTATTTGCGGGGGAGGCTCGAGGTAGTTGGAATATCCATGTTCGAAAAGGAGACAAGCTCCGGCCTAGTTTGATAGACGGGCTTGGGTAGGAAGCAGTGCAGGGATGGACGTCATGCAAAGACTCGATTCGTTTCGGTAGCGCACTATTCTGCCGTTGAAACGAGCTAAGTCTGCAGAGCCCCCGTTGTCACAGGTCTCGGCTAGAGCTTGAGATGTGCATGCCGAGTATCTGGAACGAAGAGAGGCCATACCGGTGTGATAGTTCTGCGACGATCAAGTTAGAGATATGGCATGATCGTCGGCCGTTTCTTGTCTTTATCCTAAATTGCTCGCCTGTCTATTATTTAAGAGAGAGATGGACGTCGTGAGAATCACCCAAGCAGCAGACTCCTCAGCTCTCTTCATCGAAGCATAGTCCATCCAAGCGCTCAAGCTCAACGTCCAACATGAAGCAATTCTCTGCAAAATTCGCTCTCGCGCTGTCTGCGGCCGCCGGGCAGGCCTTGGCGGCCTCTACGCAGGGCATCTCCGAAGACCTCTACAACCGTCTGGTTGAGATGGCCACCATCTCGCAAGCGGCCTACGCCAACATGTGCAACATCCCCTCGACCATCACCGTCGGGGAGAAGATCTACAACGCCCAGACCGACATCAACGGATGGGTGCTCCGCGACGACAGCACCAAGGAAATCATCACCGTCTTCCGCGGCACCGGCAGCGACACCAACCTGCAGCTCGACACCAACTACACCCTCACGCCCTTCAGCACCTTCTCCGAGTGCAGCGGCTGCGAGGTGCACGGCGGGTACTTTATCGGCTGGTCCTCTGTCCAAGACCAAGTCATGTCGCTTGTCAAAGAACAGGCCGACCAGTACCCGGACTACACGCTGACTGTCACCGGCCACAGGTATGAGCTGTGCCCTCTTACAAGGAAAGTCCATTGTATGTTCTGTACTAACTCGATGGCCCAGTCTGGGAGCGTCAATGGCGACTCTCGCTGCCGCCCAGCTGTCCGGTACATACGACAACATCACCCTGTACACGTTCGGCGAGCCGCGCAGCGGCAACGAGGCCTTCGCGTCGTACATGAACGACAAGTTCACCGCCACGAGCGCGGACACGACCAAGTACTTCCGGGTCACTCATTCCAACGACGGTATCCCGAACCTGCCCCCGGCTGAGCAGGGCTATGTCCATGGCGGTGTGGAGTACTGGAGCGTGGACCCCTACAGTGCCCAGAACACCTATGTCTGCACTGGGGATGAGGTCCAGTGCTGTGAGGCGCAGGGCGGACAGGGCGTCAACGATGCGCACACCACTTACTTTGGAATGACCAGCGGAGCTTGCACCTGGTAATTGGGTCGAATCGGCTCTGACGAGACTGCTGGCGGATTGTCTAGAAGATGCTAGGGCCACCGGGGGAAGTTCTTGACAAGGAAATGTGTATCATTGTACTCAGTGTATGATAAGGCAACAGTTGAGGATGGACCAATATGAGGTTTGTAGATTTGAATGCGTCTTGATGATGCATAAAGACTGGCATTTGCTTTTGATCGTACGTCTATGTCTAAAGTGAATAGTAGATATTTGATTCAGCACACGCCCCAGGGATGCAACAACCGAAAACCCGGAGACTGCGATATGGCGGCTCTCCAAGGGCGAGCAAAACGCCTCAGTCCCGCTTCAATCCAACCCTCCCAGCCTTCCGCAATCCGAAGAACCCAATCCCCGTGCATAGGATCATGAACCCAAACATTGTCCAGAAACTCGCCCGATAACCCTCCATAAGCGCCCGCGACTCTTCCTTGCTCGACTTATCCGTAACAAGAGTGGAGATCACCTGGAGGATAGCCATGCCGAGCGCACTGCCAAACTGCGCTGAGGTGTTGAAGACGGCGCCGGCCAGTGCTTGCGTATGGTCGGGGAAGACATCCGTGATGACTATCAGACCGACAGTAAACAGCGCGTCGAAGCTGACGGGCTGGAGGAGCTGGGCGACGAAGGCGTTACCCCAGTACGGCCATGAAGGCTGGATCACGGCCATGAGGATGGGCGCCCCAGCGCACAGGATGGAGGAGATCGTTACAATCCAGAAGGCAGGAACCTTGTGGACAAAGATGCCGATGAAGAGATTGAGGAGGACGCCCACTACTAGACTGGGGAGGATGCGGATGGAGGCTTGCAGGGCGGAGAGGTCTTGGACCTCTTGGAAGCTGCGGAGGTCAGTGGAGGAGCATAGACTGTGGGTGTGATTGTCACTTACAACAAACTCGCGAAGAGCTCCATGGAGTTCAGGACGGCATTGGACAGGGCCACCGTCGCACAGATGCTCGTAAATGACATGTTTTTCCACAGCGAGTTGGGAATCAGGGCTGGCTTATCCCGCTTGACCTGATAATGCACCCAGGCGGAGAAAGCCGGCAGGGCCACGGCAGCCAGACACAAGATGACGATGGCCTCTGCGGACCGGATCCGCGAGGGATTCGCGCTGACAATACTGTCGCTTCGTTAATTCCGAGGACGCTCAATTAAGCAGGGCGGGCGGTACTCACGCTAGAAGATAACACAGCAAGGCCATGAAGGCAGAAGCCAAACACGCACCGACCCAGTCCACCTTGGTCCGGATGTTGTGCATACGGTCCGCATACTGGTGGCTTTTGCTCTTGGGCAAAGCCCACAGGCCCATAGCGGCGAAGAAGAGAGTGATCCCTCCGGCGAGATACCATCCAGACCGCCAGCCGATGGTGTCGACGAGAATACCTCCCACGACCAGTCCAAGCGAAAAGCCCAGCGGTTGACTGAGACCGATACAAGAGAAGGCCAGGTTCCGACCTCTCCCGGGTGGAAGCAGCTGCGTGATGATGGACACTGATGAAGCCAAATGCAGTGCCAGACCAACGCCCTGCAGGGCTCTCAGGACAACCAGCTCTGATCCATTCCGAGACACGCCTTGACCGATCATCAGGGCTCCACTGGCAAAAGACCCCACGATCTCAACCCATCGCGGACCAACAGCGTCGGCGATAGAGCCTGCGAGAAGGAGAGTAGAAGCAGTGGCCAGGTTGCTCACTGACGACGGCCAGAAGGACAAGGAGGACGGCAGTTGGAGATCCTTCGTGATCGTCGGGAGGCCGACAATGACCAGGCCATTGATCACGCTGGCCGTGAGAGTGACTGCAAAGAGCTGAGAGATGACCACCACCTGCTGGACGAGCTTCTTCCGAGATTTTGGCCGCACATCCTCCGTGGGGCGAATATGTCTATCCTCGAGGAGGAGCGCATCGATTTGCGGTGGCGCTATAGTTGCTGTCGTCGTCGTCGACATTTTGCAGTTTGCTACGAAGGAAGGACCGGTCGGATTACCCCGTAAAAGCCATCGAGCCCGTGAAAATTCCCCCGATTTGTGACCCCGACACTTCCCCGGAAGCGAGGTGGAACTGATGGGCCCATCACGTAAAAAGTGGTCCATCACGTAAAAGGCTCCATTGTGGCGTTGGTTGGTTCCTTGATGCCTGGAAGTGCTGAGTCAGTTGGAGGCAAGTGGGCTATACTTATGAAAAGAACTGAAGAATGCAGAATCAGGATACTCCAGGTATATTAGGGATCTGTCGATGGAAGATGAGAGGTTCTCTTTTGATAGTACATAGTTCTCGATATACTGCAACGCCACAAATTGGCATCCCGATGTGGCGCAGCAGATAGCCCTATCGTCAGTTTGCCACAAGATATCGATAAACCAGTCAAGCTCTGCTAAGAATATATCTGCTCTTATAAGCACGGGGGCACAACATGATAGACTGTGCTGGCTGTCAACTCAGGCAATGGGGCTCAATGTCGGACCTGACAGCAGTTCTTCAAGTGCAGAGACATCTTCCACATACTCTATCCGCAGAACCAACTGTTCAATCGCATCCCTCCTCTCTTTCTCAACCAGGCCATATGTAAACATGCGGAACTTGTCCAATATCTCCTCGTTTGACAATGGTGGACTGACACCCTTCGGCGCCTCCAGCAGTCGAGAAATCTTGCTTCCATCCTGAAACGCGACAGTAACTCGCTGTTCATACTTCTCACCCAGCTCCGGCGTATGGAAACATTCAGTCTTGTCTACCAACCTCCAAATGACATCCCGGTCCACTTTCTCCGGCTGAAACTGCTGCGGCAGAACCTGTCCATCGACAAGCTGTACAGCCGCAACATACGCGCAGCTCATCTGCGCACCCGTCGCAGTCAACGGACGGTGAGCCTTCCATCCGCCATGTTTCCACGCTGGCTCGGACATTTCAATCGCGATGCTTACTATAGCATCCAAATCCTTCAGCTTTTCTGGATACTCTCTCTGCAATGCTGCGACCGAATCAATGATACAGTGGGTTCCCGCCATGGATGCATAGGGCTTGACACGAATCGCATCCAACTGCCACGTCTGGCCGAGACCATTGACCAACTCCTCGGCGAGAAATGGAGGTTCTTTGCCGGAGCCCTCTCCAAAGACCGCAAGAAAGCCCCCATACGGCTCTTCAAACACACGCTTAATCCCAGTATAGCCGCTCTTGGCCAACAACGCACCGAACAGGCCGTTCCGCGCCGCGAACCCGTGCTGCATGCGCTTCACGTCGCTGCCAAACTGGGCTGACATCAGCCCGCAAGCCTGCGTGCACGCAATCCCGACAGCATCTTCGATCGCATCCGACCCAAGACCAAGGAGCTTGGAGACCGCGGCTGCGGAAGCCGCATGCCCGAATACCACCCCAGAGTGCCATCCGCGCGTGAGCATGTGGCTGCCATGCAGACACAGGCCGACACGGGGACCGATCTCGTATCCGACGATAGTGGATAAAAGGAGAGATGCGCCGTTGATTGCGGGTCCCCCGCGTGCCTTTTGATGCGCAGCCGCTGCGAACAATGCAGGAAGCAATATTGCGTTGGAATGAAGCGGAGCAAGGGAGTGCCAATCGTCGAGCTCGAAGGCTTGGATTGCGGTGCTGTTGACAAGAGCAGAGGGTAGTGGTCCGATTTTCTGTCCCGTTGTGAGTGGGTAGGTGCGTGTTGGGGGTATCAATGATGGCACCCACCTTGTTATATCCCCAGACTGGACAGTCACCCGGTGGTTCCATGTCTAGAATGGCGTGGGCAGCCTTTTCACTCCATGGCAGATGAGCCCCGACGATGGTGCATCCAATACCGTCAAGTATGAGGTATTTCGCCCGTACAAGCTGGTCTTCGGGGACATCAGCCAGTCTGAGACGGTCAACCCATGAGCACAGCTGACGGGTAACCCCGTTGTTTTGCTGTGTTGTGAGACCGGAATGCTCAGTCATGCTTAGTTGCACAATTTAGGAGTGGATACGTTGGACAGTCATGAAATAATTATTCCCCTTACCCCAACGCTTAAGTACAACAAGTGACCGGCCGCTCACGGGCCGCAGACGGGGTACCAACACCGACTATTCTTTCCTTTCCCACACGCCAACCCAACAACCCCACGAGATGATCTTATCCTGCAGGCATCGAACAACCTCCTCCTTTGTTGCGGGAGCACTCAACTGGCTCTGCTCGATCCGTTCGCTAAGCGCAACAATCTGGTAAAAGTACCGATGCGGGCCGTGTCCCAGGAATCCGCGGGGAGGCATGTAAACGTTCCTTCTGCGGTTCAGGCCGTATTTGAAGCCGCCATTTAATCGCAATTCGCCGTCGTCTCCGACAGGCTCAAAGTCCGTGCTCGAGACACTAGTCTTGCTGGCGGGAATTCCATAGTACAGCCCATGCACTACTGGCTCGGCGAGAGGCGCGTCGGGATCTTCCACCACGAGGAGATATTCGGCCGCATTGGGTGGCGGAGTCCATGAGAAGGTTGGGAAAAGGCCGTGCTCGAAGGCGCTGTATTCTGGTGGAATAGGCGACTCCGAGGGGCCGATAGTACATTCCACTGTCATTGTCGGGCTCGGGTGTTGTGCGAAGGGGGGTGATCGGTGCAGGAGACCGCTGTCATGGCCTCGACGGGCGTAGAGGACCCAAGCGATACTGCGTTCTAGGAGTTTAGCCATTTAGATAATGAAGGTCCTGTGTCACAGAGGAATGAAGTCGTAGTGGTGAGAGTGACCGTTCAAGCCTACTAATTACCGCTTTGGGACCGGCCCGTAGTCGGGATGTTTAGTCCCGATCAGGCAATAACCGGCCCGTTGTCGGCATCACCACATCGCCTCGCATCCAACTACATCCGAGACAAGCTGAATTTTTGATATTCTACGGTTTAATCAAATAACTAATAGTTGAATGCAATCACCAAGCCGAGGCAATGTCCGACTCGCCCCGTCATCGCCGTAAACGCATTGCTTGCAGACAATGTCGCCAGGCTAAGGTATGGAGCGGTTGCCAATTCATCCGTCAGGGCTAATTATGTCTGGCTAGATACGATGTGAGCTCTCTACCGGAGGGAACACTCCCTGCTCCAGGTGCCGACGTATGGGCATCGATTGCCGAGTAGACACAACGTTTCAACGCGTCAACCGAAGAGAGTACGTCGGAAGCCAGGAGATACTTGGCCCAATGAATCGAGGGTATTGACCCATTACAGGCGCTTGGATGACCTGGAGAAAGAGATTCAGCATCTTCGGTCATCAGTCCCAACACTTCCCGCCGCTTCTGCCCGACCCCTTCGGCGTATCTCTGCGGATCCTATCCCTGATGCCTCTCTGGATGCAGAGCCATCTTTTGTGCAAGCTAGACCACCAGAGGCGAAGGAAAGTCTACTATTAACGGGCTCACCAACCGTGCCACTACTAGAACGATATAGTCCTCAGATTTTTGCCCAGGAGCAACCTAGTCCACTGTCAAATTTAACAAATGACCACAGAACGTCGACCAGTCCTCGATCGTTGGACTTTCTGGACTTCGGTGGGAAGCAGATAGACAATCATTTTAACGTGTCTGTATAACGGTTTCGAATTCTTTCGGCCGACACTGACATGATCCAGCTTCTTTCAGAAATATCATCCATACGCACCCATTTTGGACCCTGCAGTGCCCCCAGACGCATATTTTTCTCGGTCACCTTTACTTTTCTGGGTGGTTATTCTAGTCTCATCACGCCGTTACTCCGACGAACCGGGTCTGTTCGTCAGCCTCGCAGCTCCTGTCAAAAAGACTCTTTGGGATACGATAGCCAATCCGCCTCACAGTTGGCATCTAGTCCAATCAATCGTCCTATTGTGTCTGTGGCCTGTGCCGACTTCATCCCTCTCTACCGACAACACTTCCGTACTAGTTTCTACGGCACAGTCAATTGCTATCCGTCTTGGCCTGCACCGTCCGGAAGCCATTCAGGATTTCTCCCGCACGAGGAGAAGACTTACCCCCGAGGAAGTATCAGAAGCGGCACGCACGTGGGCGGCCTGCTACATTGCTGCGCAGAAGTATGATTGCCGCCACATTCTTTCTTCCATATCAATCTAATACGATACTCAGCGTAGCGGCAATCGATGGCCAAGTATGGGTATCTCCTGACTGGATGATCGACCGTTTATGTGACCGAGATGGCGGCATAATTCCGGCGTCATTGAGGCACCAACTGCTGATATCGCGATTTTCGGGGCGAGTGTGTCGTCTCATGTCTGATAACGTGCATAGTCTCACGGGGGCTCCTCGCCCTGGCGAAAGCATATCCCTCTTAGGTATCTTGGAGACAGAATTCCAAGATATGTCTTGCATGCTATCCGACCAGCTCACAGGTAATCTCTTTGGCCTCTGTTTTACCAGTTCCACCCTTATGAATGAACACAGATGAAAACAAGATCCTCCTGCACGGCGCCGGCCTCCAACTGTATGTTTACTATCTCCTGGACAATGGCCAATCGGACCTCCGCAAGAAAGGACTCGTGCGGGCATATAATCTGGCAACGGAGCTCATCACCACGTTTACGACCCTGGCTTCAGCGCACGAGCTCCCCGAGCATGGACCAGTATCCTATTTCCGGGTGCTATGCCTCGCCGCCATGTTCATACTCAGACTTTGCTACTCAAATCTGAGCGGGTCCCTGGATATAGATAGTGGAAAAAGCGCGTTCAGCTCCGCCATTTGCCTCACTCGCCGGATATCGCTCGAGGACAATGACCTCCCGGGCCGCATGTCCAGGATCCTGACGCAGCTGTGGAGCGCGCAGATGCGCAGTGGCTCACGCGATAAAGATCCCAGTTTGAAGCTCAAGACGCGCATGGCAGCGAGTCTTATCCATGATTCATTATGGATGTGGCGGGAAGAGTTTGGTGGTCAGAGGAATACGGCGCAGACACCTCCAGTTGGTGAGTTGCGCCTCGTCACCTGTCACTGTATGCAAAATATACTCATGGGACTTGGGCAGGTATGCGAAACCCGGATCTGGCTGTGCAGAATCTTACCGTGGGGAGTACGCAGGATGAGGCTGCTGTTGAGGGTTGGACTTTGGAAGATATGATCGATGCCGAGATGTTGGCGCTGCTTCCGTTTAGCTTGGATGGCGAACCTTGACTCTCCTGCAATAATCCAGATATGCACATAACACAGCATCACTGGCTCGTAGTACAGTCAGACGCACGGTAGTGTCCTTGTCAATTTGATCGAGCCCTAGTAACCGAAAACATTGTGAAGACCATTCCGTCCTATCACTGTCCAGCCTCCTCATCCTCCCATTCTCCAGTCTGAACAGCAAACCAATACTTGTCAAGCTCCTGGCAGCTCTTGTGGGTGGCCACCGTCACAGTAAACATGTACTTGGAGGCGCAAACACTGACGACCTCATCAAAGACGCCTGCTTCCACCACCTTCCCAAAGTCCACCAGGATGCGCTCCACCGGACCGCATGACCACCCACGCATGATGGTGAAGTCCGACTTGCAGTACAGATTGTGCCAGATGATGTCGATGTCGGTGTCGTCGTGGATTGTCGACGGCGGCGGAGTCGCGTCCATTTCTTCTCTACCCAACTCTGTTGCAGACCTCGATTAATAACAGATCACTCTGCACATGCGAGCTCCTGCTTACCGTGTGCAGCGGCACATTCTTCGGCACCCACGGTCGCCGCAGCGGAAGCCTCCCCGTGGGCCGCACGAGCAGTGTGCTGAGCCGCCGGGGTAGCAGCGTCCCTGGCCGCCGCCGCGGCAGATGATGCGGTAGCGGACATTGGGGCTGTCGGGGAATTCCTGCAATTCGGGGGACTCGAGGGTGTCTGAGATCTCTGTTAAGGACTGGTCCAAGGGTTCTGGAAGGGCCAAAGCACAGGGGCTGAGGAGGAACAGAGCGAGGACAATGGGTGAGAGATGCATTTTGGGGACAGTCACGATGGGATACAAGGGTAAAGGGGTGGTTTCTTTCTGGGAGCTGCTTTAAAACGTACTGCAGATGAGATGGCGACTTCTCTTTGATGGAAGTTGTTGAAGATAGTCTTTATAGATGGTGGTTGTTGCACGAGCGATGGAGAGGATGGGGAGAGGAAAGAGAGATGAAGACGCGGTAACACATCGAAGAAGTATGTGTCACCTGACTGAGTACGAAAGTATCCGGGGTGTATAACTTGTTTTCATCGATCCATGGTTCTGTTTCAGTATATCCTGTTGCCTAGTATCGTCATCGTCGATTGTGTTTCGATTCTGGGTTGGTCAGTAAGCTGCCTTGCGGTATATCCCGAGACGCATGTGGAATGATCCATATCACAACTTTCGTGAGAGGTACAGGAAAGTCAGTAGAAGAAGGAATACGCTGGAGAGCGTGCATAATCAACTGAAGGCTTGTGTAAGCTACCATTCTCGTCCGACGATGGCTACAATAGTCCGGTGTCAAGGACTCCATGACAATCAATCTACACTCCCTCGTAGAGCCCCCCTCCTGCCGCCATATCGAGAGCCACTGCGTCCTGCAATCCCAACACATTGAACAGATCCCTCGGGCTAACACGGGCATCCCCCATGTGGGTTCCATGCAGTTTCAACCCTTGCGCCGCCTTCTCAACTGCCTCATAAACAGCTCCCAACGCCAATCCAGGGAAGATAATGAGACGAAACCCCAGCTCTTGTGCTTCCTGAACGCTCAAATCCGGTGACACCCCACCAGACACCGCATTGAAAAGCACCGGTGTCGGTTTGAGCTCCTCACAGACTAGACGAGCCTGCTCTTTGGACGTAATTCCCTCCAGGAACGCCACATCCGCACCCAGCTTAATGGCGCCTTTCAGCCTAGAGACTGCAGCTTGGTAGCCCAAGGACTGGAGCGCGTCCGTCCGCGCAATCAGGACAATGTCGCCATCCGATCGCTGGCGCGCATTTACGGCCGCTCGGATGCGGCTGAGATACTCACCCTCGGAGACGACCTGCTTGTTGCGCAGATGACCACAGCGCTTGCTTGTAGGCTGGTCTTCCAGGTGCAACGCGGCGACTCCTGCGCGGATATACTCCGTGACGGTGCGGTGAACCATCAAGGAGCCTGGAGCTTGTTAGTCTCCACGCGCCACACACCATTGAGGTGGGGGATATCTGGTGTGCTACCTCCAAAGCCTGTGTCTGCATCAGCGATCAAAGACACCGAGCGGTCCAGACTGGCGATCATCTCTGCGTTTTGCCGCATTTCGGTCAGAGTGATGACTCCGAGGTCTGGCTGGCCCAGACGACTTGCCGTTGTTCCTGCTCCTGTCTTTTCTGATATTAGCTACCAGGGTTGGCACGTATATCAAGGCCAAACGACAGTTGTTTACCATGTACAGGGCATCGAACCCTGCCTTGAGGGCAATCCGCGCTGTGAGACCATCATAGACCCCGGGACAAACCACGATCTTGGTTTCGTTGGCAAGCAGGGCTCGCAGTCTGGCGACTGAAGACGACATTTTTTTGTCTGGACAGTGTTTGGAAGATAAAATGAGAACCTTCCTGTCTTATGAACCCAAGTAGTGACGGAGCGCAGGCCGTAGTCGGGCCGCACCCGCGCCGACGTTCCGAGCTTCCCAATATATAAACAGACAACGTTAACATCATATGCCTGAACCGAAAGGCCTCAACTATTCATAGAAGCCATGTCATACATCAACCAAGTTCTGGAAACTCTCCACAAAACCAGGAACATCCCTGTCTCCAGCGCACACTGTAAACAACCACCGTCGCTTATCCACATCTACAGATCAAACAGTCGACTGACAACAAACAGTTGAACAAGCACCCTCAACCAATATTCTCGATCAGATTGCGTCTATATCCACCTGGTTGAAGAGCGAAGGCTACGACCGTGAAGCCACTGCACTCGGCGACGTCCTAGTAATATGCAAGGAACCAAAGGACCTCGGCGGTCTCGGTCTAGCGGATTCGACCGGCGACGAAAGCATCGCGCCAGAAAAAGAGGCGGAGATCCTGTTCCTCATCTCGGCCTGGTTGGAGTCTCTCAACTCCATCGACAGAGCCAAGTCGCGCCCTGCTTGCCTAACCATTCGACCAGCTGGTCGTCGGGGGATGACGCTGAGCGAGAAGATATTTGCGCTGCATGACATCAATGGAAAAGGATGGGTCGCGCCGGGAGAGCTGATCCGTGTGGACGTGGACTGGGTCATTGCTTCAGAGGCTTCATGGGCGGTTAGTATACCGAGAGTCGTACTGCACGTGTATGTTAGGATCTAACGATACCGAAGGGCATGGAACGCACGTATAATGATCTCGGAAAACCAGGGATCTTTCGAAACGACCGGTTCTGGATAGCCGGGGACCATGTCGTTGATCCTCGCGTGAACAGTCTTCCTAAAGTCCAGGCGCTGATCGATGCGAGCGAACGGGCAAAGCGCGTGTTTAAGATGACCAACTATCAGGGGCTGAACGTGAGTCCACTTCACCATTCAGGACGCTCAGAACTGACGTAAATCGCAGTATACGATCCTCCACACCGAGTTCTACCGCGAACGAGCCCAGCCCGGGATGATCGTCATCGGATCCGACTCCCACACTTGTTCCTCAGGCGCTGTAGGGTGTCTTGCCATTGGACTGGGCGCCGCCGATGTAACGATGCCTTTGGTTACTGGTGAAACATGGATTAAAGTGCCCGAGTGTGTGAATATCCGTTTAACTGGCAAACTCAGAACGGGGATAAGTGGGAAAGACACCATCCTCTACATTCTGCAGCAGCTCAAACGAAACACCGTTGCCGCAGACAGAATCGTCGAGTTCACCGGGCCTGGAGCAAAACACCTCTCGTCCGATGCCCGGTTTGCGATCTGCAACATGACTACAGTAGGTCGGATTCCTCCAAAGGAGGATATTGCTAATCAAGATAGGAATTCGGTGGAATCACTGGAGTCTTTGTACCCGACCACGTAACGTCGGATTTCATCCAAAAGAGGAAGTTGCCACGGCATAGAGATGCATCTATCTACTTTCGACCGGACGACGATGCACAATACGTCGAGACTCACGAAATCGATCTGAGCAAGGTTTGTTCATTCATGGCACGGTATCCAAATCCAGACGACGTAGTGCCTGTCACAGACCACGAAGGCATGCCCCTGGACGGGTGCTTTATTGGAGCCTGTACCACTGCCGAAGAAGACCTCATACTAGCGGCTCTGGTCCTTGAGCAAGGATTGAAGAAAGGGATGAAGCCCGTGTCCCGAGGGAAAAGAAAGGTCGTTCCAGGCTCTATGCCTATCCTGCGCCGTCTTCGGGCGTTAGGGTTGGCGGGGGTCTATGAAACTGCTGGCTTCGAGATTGGTGTCCCGGGCTGCAGCTACTGCGTTGGGATGTCGGCAGATCAGGCAGCGCCTGGGGAGGTGTGGCTTTCATCGCAGAATAGAAATTTTGAGAACCGGATGGGCAAGGGTAAGATGTCTGATATTGTCATGTATGAAGGTGAAGCTGATAAGACAAGGGTCGTTTGGGAACCTGGCCTCAGCGGCAACAGTGGCTGCGTCGTCGTTTGAGATGAAACTAAGAGACCCAGGGGTGCTTCTGGATCAAATGGACCTCGAGAGGTGGCACGATTTGCGTGACATTTCTGCTGAGTGTGCGGAGGGGAGGCATACCGATGGGCCGACGTACGTTGAACCAAGCAGTTACTCGGCTGTAGAGATGCACAACACAGCCCCGTCCAGCTCCTCATCAGAATCGCAGAACATGGTCTCTATGTGTAAAGATGGAAACGTGATGACAGGAAAGATCCAGCGTCTGGGCGATTTTATCGATACCGATGCTGTACGTGTCTGATTCAAGTTACTAGTGTGAAACTGACAATTCGCAGTTGGCCCCCGCCGAGTTCTTGATTGAAATGAAGAACAATGAGATAGCTGGACAGCACTGCTTACAATACACTCACCCAAACTTCCGTCAACGCGTCAAGGAGGGATTCAACATTGTGGTTGCCGGGAAAGCATTCGGATGCGGTTCGTCTCGTGAACAGGCTGTCATGGCCCTTCTAGGTAAGATTTAAGTACTCATTACTGGACAAGGCCCGAGAGCTAACCGGGCATTGCTAGGTTGCGGCGTGCAATGTGTGATCGCCAAGTCCTTCGCTTTCATCTTCCAGCGCAACATGCCCAATCTTGGCCTTCTGGGTATTACTATGACGGATGAAGAATTCTACGAAGCTGCTCAGGACAGCACAAAGATATCTATTCACTTTGATAACAGAGTTGTCAGTGTGGGAGACAAACGCTACGGGTTTGAGCTGAGCCAGATGGAGCAGAAGCTCTTCCAATACGGGGGGATTGCCTCGGCATTCCAGAAATTTGGCAAACGCCTGTTCGAGAGGATGATGTCTCACAGGGCAGTGCGGACGAGGGACATCTCGCTTGGATTTAGTGAGAGCGGTCCGGGGCAAAAACAGGACCTGGAATGGTAGAGGGCGTATTATGGAGATATGTTCGGGGATCCAGAACTGCACCGACTATTGATGTTCCTGATTTCCTGCCGAGAGGTCTAGTATACTTGGACGAGTGTTGGGACATAGACGTAAGACTCCATCAAACCGTACGGATAAGAACTACCTTACCTACTACTTGGTTATGTCGAAAAATCGGACAGTATTGGATGTATTACCCCAAACAGCCGACTACATCGAGCATGTCTATGTCTTGCCCAACCAGTCCATCTTCCCCCCAATGCTCTCCTTCCACTTACCCACGGTAAACCCTCCTAAAGAAGGGACCCTTTCTGGGATCCAGACAACCTCCCCCACCTCACTAGTGACGAGCCTCCAAAAGCGCCGACTATTTCTCTGACTAGTCAACAGTAGCTTGAAGATGCATCCGCCACCGCTCCCTCGTCTCTGAATACACATCTCAACGGCCAAAACCAGAGCCCTGACCACCTCTTCACCAGTCTCCTTCAATGCCATCCGGTCCTCAAACTCCGTGACCCCATCCACGATACAAAACACGATGACGTCGTCTGGAAGCTGCTGTATCAGCTCATGAAAGACTCCACATAGACCATGGACATCGTCCCTGCGTAGCTGGCGTAGCTTTGTAACAGCGGATAGATCGAACCCCGGGTGTGATTGTAGGAGCTGACCGATGAGGTTGCGCATCATTCCTGATGGGCCAGCGTCTGGATCGGTTGAGCGGGTGTGTGCGCTGCAGAAGAAGGCGAGGATATAGATATTGTTACCTGAGGGCTGGGTGGTAATGGACTGGACGAGTCTGGCGGGGAGGAATGACGAAAAAGGAGATGTACCCGGTGTGTTCATGTTTATGAATAGGGTGGAGGAGGTAGGGGTGGTGATCCAGGTGGGCAGTTTTGGGCTCTGCATGGCGGCGATGATACGGTCCTGGGATGGCAGGGGAAGCTTCCAGACGCTGTCTAGATTGGTTGTTAAGTCGGCTTCGAGGGTTGATGAAGTATAGCCTAGAGCCGCGAAGGCGTGGTCGCGAGAGCGTAGGTACACTGGGGTTGGTTTCAATGAGAATAGGATGTTGACTGCTGGACATGCAGGGCCACTCACTCTGCAGAGCTCTCCGTTCTGTAGCAGCTTTATCGGATGGGAGCATCGGCCCTCGCACTATGGCAGAGTCTTGATTAGTCTCATAACTAAAGATTCTCTCAGGCAACGCTCACCATTCCCCGTCTTCGGATCCACGCTATCATGGCTTCCAAGGAACCGCTCCACTACCCCAAACAGATACTGCTGCATCGCGTGAATCTCTTGTTGCGTGCTCGCTTGACCCGAGCGAATCTCATTCTGGAAGCTGTCCCACTGGGTGATCGACCGATCAACGTGGTCGTTCAGCGTTTGTTGATTTTGGATTGATATCTGTCTCGTCTGTTCTATCGCCTCGTACGAGCATAATCGGGCTGCTTTGTCAAAGCGCTCAGACTGTGTGCGGAGATCCTGAAGCAGCGAGTCCATTTTTGCCTCGTATGCATCTTGTCTGAGAAGGCCGAGGCCAAGTTTCTCTGCAAGATTGAGCCATCGCTCCATGTGCCATGTGGTTTATGGTAGGACGAGTAGACGTACTGATGGCCTTTGTTCTATACCACGACACGATATGGTGTAGCAGCGCAAGTGTAGACACGTAGAGAGCCGCACTGCACCGATGCAGGTCCTTGGACCCCTTGAATATATTCAATGCTTGATGAATGCATGTCAATAGCGAGGGAATCTCTTCCAGCGCATTCGCGATGCCATGTCGCAGATCGGCCAAGCGTGCGGCTGCCTTCAGCGGTTCTTTCAGCAAATGATGTTATTCAGGAGGAGCATGGCTGAACCACTTACCGCAAGTATAAGTTTCAGTCCACCGCTGATCACAGTTGCACAGTCCGACCCCGACGGTAACAGGCCAGCCCACGCGTCAAAGACCCTACTGTTATCGCCCAGCTTGTGCAGGCCAGCTCGGATCTTCCCCCAGACCGTCGCGCGAGAATGATACGTCTCCGATGCTTTGTTGACTTCTTCCAGCACTTCTTCCCATGTATGCATTGATTTGCTGGTGACATCCGTCTTGAATTTGGATCCCGCTGTGGTCTTCTCATACGCTTCCATTGCTTCGCGGAAGCGGTCCTGCTCACGCATGGCATCTCGGTATAGTTCACCTCTACGAAGATGTCAGTTCTCTTGTTTGGGACATGTCGGTTGAACGCCTACAAATCGGGGTCATCCTCATCGTCAGTTCTCTTTGTGTCGTGGTTAGCTTCCACATGTGCAGTCTTCGTCGCGTGTAATCCGTCCTCAGATTTGGCAGCCTGCGGCACAACAGCAGTCTGGGATTCATTATCCCTGAGGCCTTCCAGTGCTGGATGGACGTCATGGCGTAGCCTTCTTCGGATATACCCCTCTACCAAAGTGCCCAGGCCATGGCGGCTGGAACCTACCGTTTCACACATAGTGACCTAAGCGCGGATTATTCACAGGTCTTCTTTCAGATCTGTCCGATGATGTCGATTATGAATGTTGTGAGCAATATTCTTGGCAGCGGTGAGTCTAGGCCAGACATGCAGGCGTGACCAGTCGAGTCAGCCAGCACCCGAAAGCCCCGAGGGGCATTCTGCTCTATCAAGCAACTATCGACGCAATACGATCCTGGCTGCACGCTCAGGGATTCAAGCAAGCCGGGCACGGCTCGTTGGCCGGCGTTGATTGGGCTTCCAGCGGCCGGAATTGCCTAGCGCTGACAAGCAAGCTGGACTAGCGCCTTGGGCTTGTTTGTTTTAGGCTCTCTCCGCGTAACCTGCATGATGCTGACAGACTGACGGGATTGTCTGGACAGGACGTGGTCCCTGATTCGTGAAGGCGAGAGAGGCTGGCTCTGTCTAGTTTAGCTCTGCATTATGGCTTGGAGTGCTGAGCTCTGACTCTTTGTACATATTGTGTGAGATTGCCAGGAATATTCTTGCGGTTTTGTTCCCGCCTGTGGATTGGGCCCTCTATTCTAAACGGTTTACACGGCTGTTGGCCTCCAGCAGAATGAGGGACGCTACTCAGATAACCACGGTCCAGGAGGTTTCCAGTACTGCTTTTTCTGTGACAGCAGGAATAGTGGATACTGTGCAGACGACTTTAGACATGAAGTCGTCATCTGGCGAAAAAGCCATGGAGCCCCCCTCGGCGGAGAGCAGTGAGTCCAGTCCAAGCCATCGGGTGTTCAAACCTATACTCACAGAGCTCCTAGAAGCAGATCAGCCACAGCCTATATCCAGGTGATTCCTTCCGGCTCTACTGATGACTGATATGTATTGACCAATGCCAGCAGTACTCCAAGCGACGACAAGACAACGAAACCTGCACCTCCCCAAGAAATCAAGATCACCCGGGTCCCACCAGAAAACTGGCGCGAGGTCAAGAAAAAGCGTCTGGTTGACCCGGAGCAGAGCATTCTCTTGACGTCGTCAAAAGGAGGCAGCAGCCTCGTGTTGCGCCATGCACAACGAAAGAGACAAATTTCCATGTCGGGATCAGGGCACAGCATCGAACCCTTAGAGAGCGACCACCAATATGCCCCGTATCGGCTGGCGATCAACTCCAAATTTCTCCTTAACTTTCTGGAAGCGTGCACGTCCACCCTTTTCACCGAGGAGCAAAATGTTCTCGTGCGCCCGTTCAAGTACCTGGTCGAGTTCGAGTCCGACATCAAAAATTTCCTGCAGCTCACGGAGACTTTGTGTGAGCAGGCAGAGCAGCAGATGAATCGGTTTGCAGAGAGAAATCCGGGCCCTAGGATTGATATTCAGCACCAGGCTGTGCAGCAAGACTTTCAGCGTGCCAAGGCAGAAGCCGCACAGGCGAAGCGAGAGCGCGATGAGCTCCGCTGTCTCGTGGAATTCATGACCTGCGACATGAGGGATATATTCGACATCAAGCGCCAGATCATGTCGAGGACACTGGAAGAAATCGCATTTGAGCATCTCTGGCAGCTCTATAAACCTGGGGACCTCGTCTACCGCAACTTCCACGACGACCCCAGTCGGCGCCAGGCATACCGAGTGCTGCATGTCACTGGGGGGCGGGTCTGCTTTGACACGAAGAAGATGTCTTATTTCGACCCAGTGAGCGATCGGGCGTGGGAAACGGAATCGGACGATGATCGGAAATGCCGTGATACCATGAAACGCTCCGGTATGCAGATGACCAACTTCATTATCGACTGTTTCTATCTCGAGTCCGATGGTGTGCGTCTGGCTCCACGACCAAAACGATTCACTATCACCCCGTACACTGGAACTAGGCCCATCACATCACTCGCTCTGCGGCCGCTTCAATTTGACCCCCACAGGGAGATGGTTGAAAAAGAGCTTGTCGCGAGAGGCGCTCGCTTCATGCAACTGGCACATAGAAAGCATATGATGTACCATGGCACTACCATCGAAGAGGCAATGCACAGTCAGTACAAGTACCGAAACTATCGTATTGAGGCGATCGAGGTATGCAATGCTCAGTCCTATCGTGTCGAGAACATACTGATGACAATTTCTAGATCCACGGCGAGGTCATCGTCGATCAAGAGGCCGGGGTGATGCACTTCCAAGACGAGTACTCGTCCTTCAGCCTGCGAACCGGCGGAGGCATCATAATCGCGCACACTGAGGCAGACAGAAGAGAGGTGTCCGATTTCTTTCCGCAAAAGACCGATGGAGACTGGGTGACGGACGTTATGGACGACTCCATTTTCGAGGAATACAGACAGAGCGAATATGTCATGAACACCGACCTCTTGACCACCCGGATGATCGCCGGGACTGATCTCCCCGATGATCAACTCCTCCTTCTTCCTCCTCGCGTCTACGGGTACTCGCTGTTGGACCGCCGGTGGGTAGCCTTCAACGTCAGCTTGCTGCAGGAGATATCGCCCGAAGACAGCCAGAGGAAGCGGAACAAGATGGAAGAGCTCGTGCTGCCGAACGAGCACAAGATGGTGCTACAAGCGTTGATCACCAACCAGGTCCGAATCCCGCACCCGAGCTCCAGTCATCACGCCTATGTGCAGGAACAGTTCTCCATGGACGTCGTTCCTGCAAAAGGCAAGGGTTTGATTATCTTGCTGCATGGCGCACCCGGCGTGGGAAAGACTTCGACTGCAGAGTGCATTGCGATCGAGCTCAACCGGCCCCTGTTGCCCATCACATGCGGCCATATTGGCACCACCGCACCCGAGGCGGAAGCGAAACTGGAGGAATTCTGCAAACTCGCACATCGCTGGAGATGTGTGCTCTTGCTGGACGAAGCGGATGTTTTCCTGGCCAAGCGAGAACGGGGCGATGTCAAAAGGAACAGTCTGGTGTCGGGTAAGTTGGCCCAGAGCCGTCCCACTATACTGCATACTGATTGATTGTAGTATTCCTGCGGGTCCTCGAATACTTCTCCGGCGTCATCATCCTAACCACCAACCGAGTGGGCGAATTCGACGAAGCATTCCGATCCCGAATCCATGTCTGCCTCTACTACCCCAAACTCGAAGAGCGCCAGACAAAGGAAATCTGGGAGAAGAACATCCAGCGCATCAGGGACAGCGGTCTCAAGATCGACCTGGAAGAAAAGAAGATCCGAAAATTTGCAGACAACCACTGGCGGCAGAACCTGGAACGGCCGACGCGTCGCTGGAATGGTCGGCAGATCAAGAACGCTTTTCAGACTGCCATCGCCCTCGCCAATTGGGACTATTATGATAACGGGAACGTTGAGAAACTGGACCGGCCGCTTCTGAAGGCGAAGCATTTCCGCCATGTGGCGCAGATCACGGCGCATTTCGACGACTATATTAGCGATATCTATGGCACCCATGACGAGGATACGTATGGGTTCTTGGCTGCCAGAGACTCCCTCCGGATGGACAATAACAGAGATATATTTGGTTCACGGGGCATGATGCCGGAGGGTTCTGGGGGGTTTACTAGGGGAATTGTTCGCCGCGGGACAGATTTCCGCGGTCAGCCAGCGAATTCATCGAAGCCCCAAGGGTCTAGTTACGATCGCTACGAAAGTGAGAGTGATCATGAAAGCACAGAGGATGACGAGCCAGAAGAAAGTGACACTGCCGAGGATGAGGACGAGGACAAAGCTACTCAGATCAAAAAATTGGAGCTTGAGCTAGAGTTGGCAAAGCTTAAGGGCAAGCAGGGATCGTCGAAAGGACACAAGAAGCGATGAGTAGAGCATCGGCGATCGAATGTCGGAGGGATGGTGACGATATCGATATACACGATGGCAATGATTCATACACGGGTCTCTTACAGCACCTGCCTGGAAGTAGTTACCTTTCTACTATGTAGTTAGGCTCTTATTCACTCCTTGCAGGATACTCCAAAGATCTACTACGGATATACTTCGGTGTGCGCTGAATGCAAAAAGGCGAGATCTCAACAAGCACTCATTCCATTTCACCTAGATAAACACACTTGAAACGGCGATGCAAACGCGTTACCTATCACAAATAAAGTTAGATAGAATACCTCATTATAAAGGGAAGAAGGCTTAGTCGCCATGCTCATAGTAGATGCCCAGGAGGAAGAGTAGCAAGGTAGGCTCTCCGGTCCACTACCCCCTGATAAAACAAAGGAAAACCTGTCACGATCCAGTCAGTCAGACGCAAATCTTCGGTGTCAAGGGGAAAGGACTTTGAAGTCTGGGAGTTCCTCCTCAAAAAAGTTGGCTGGCAGGAAGAAATAAAAGGTAGGGTCTCTGGGTTCCCCGTTCTCGACGGACTGAATATGTGCCTCAAGGATCTTACACGCGGCATCGGTAAGGACTTTGAGAAAGTTGGGACCGGGCTCCTCGTCGCATTCAATCATCATACGACAGTAAACGGAGTCATCCAACGTGGAAAAGTCATTGGTATACTCCCTAGGCCCTTGGTCCAAACACTCATAGCAGTAGGTGACTTCATCCGCAAGAGGGGTATCGAAGGGTCCGAAGACTAACCAGAATCTCTGAAGGTGAAACATGGTGATAGGAACTGATCACCGAAGTGGTGGTGATGGTTGCTCTTCTTGATGTATCGGAAGGCAGGTGGATGGAAGCGATTCGACGTCAGTAGACGTGGATGAGGATGAGATAGACTTGACTCTCCTGGCCTGGAGCAGGATTTTATAGACTGCCGTAGGGTTGGGGAAGCATAAGAGATTGGAACAAAACGGAATTTCCCTGTCAAAATAGGAGTAAAGGTTGTCATAATATCAAAGAATGGATTTGATTATCGATAAAGATATATCTTTGTTGGGACGATGTGCATTGTTGTGAATAAAAGCAGTTGTATGTTGGCTACTGCTCACTGTACCGAACACCCATATAGAAACATAGGACTCTTGACACAGGCAATAACAACGAGATTTCCAGAACAGCTTTGTACCCTGAATCACAAAGACTAGCCCATAATCATGGATACTATTGTCGAAGGTCAAAGAAGAAGGCAATTGTCTTCCACATCGTCTTTATCAAACCCATGACAAAAAGAGTAGATCTCGACAGGGAAGTTCCGTCAAGTCTAGTTCCTTGACAGGTGAAACTCCACCTTCATAATCACCGATATAATCAATAATCGGGCCATACAAACATGACATGCGGGTTTGAGTGGTCGAAGGTTCATCATCTCTTGGGGGAAAATTACATCCTTCTCCGAGTATCCTGCTTTATAGTTACAGTTGTCCCGTTAACTCGGACAGAGCAACTTTGCAGGTCTGGTGACAGTCCTGCAGAACTTACGTGGGGATATGGTCAAGTGATCGGTGTCCAAATGGTTTTCGAAGTACCGGGCAAGGCTCCCGGTCTTCGCTGGTGGTGATTACTTAAGGCAATGCTCAGCACGTCATGAACAATGTACACGATAAGAATAGCATAAGCAGAGTCGTCACCCAAGCTGGGTCCAAATCTGCACTACGTAGTCTAGACGACTTGAACCTGCCCTCTTTAGATTTATCTGCTGTATAGCGCTGATAAGCCAAGGTGGTTCAATATATGTATACCATCCAAATGTATCTATATGTAGAGTTATAAGTGGTTCCCGCAATCATAATGTGCTCCGCAGCGGCAGAGAGTCCAGAATACCCTTCACCAAGTTGACTGCATCCTGCGCCATGCCCATTCCCGCCTGATATCCAGTTCCCCCAGCACCATAATTATGCACCACCGTTTTGCCAGCGTGGATCTCTTCGCGCTCGACGCGAGCACCATCCTGTCGAGACGGCCGGAAACCCACAGCAACATTTAGGATCTTCGTCTCGCCATTCTTCAATACAGGCAGCAGATCCCCGGTTCTCTGCAGAATTGATTGCCTTTCGTGCTCCCGGACATTGCTGTCCGAGTCACCCTTCTGGAGATATCCTCCCAGGATGACAGTGGAGTCAGAATCCGGTCGAGGAATGATATATGTCTCGTAGTCTTTGCCGTGGCGCATGACGTTTTGTTTCAGCGAGGGAGCCTGGACGAGGACGATCTGGCCCCGTGTCGGGTAGCACTTGGGGTCTTGGACGCCCGGAAGAGTGATGGCCGCGTTTCCGATGCAGTTGAATACGATTTTCGTGTCGGGAGATATGAATGCGTCTTGTAAGGACTGCACGGTATGTCTGACGAATTTGATCGAGCCATACCGATCCTGCGAAAGCAGGGACTTGAGATGCATGCAATGGGCGGGTGCGTTGAGTGTGATGGTTGTAAACCGGAGACCAAACGCAACATTTGGTGGCAGTTCGGCTTTGGGGATAGTTTCGACCTAGATGCTATAAGTTAATAGTTCACACAGATTGAATGGTCGGTTCGGTGTCGTACATCACGGAGATATTCAGTCACGCTCTGTATCTTTTCAGGAGACGGCTGCTCATCCCAGTACTCTATCGATTGCGTCTTCGAAAGGTACTTTGCTTCCTCGGCGCCGCTATCAATGAGCTGCATCAGAGACAAATACCCAGCCTTGTCCCAGCGCAATGCATTCGGATCATTCCCCGATATCCCGGAGAAATTGGCTCCCGCCCTGTACATTCACAATGATCAGACACCGCTGCTTCAAGAGCGCGAGACCGGACTCACCAGGGCGACGTATAGTCCACATGGACGTCTCCCGGAAGGTGCTTTGCGATCACCGTAATGTGGCGTCCATATCCGCGCTTCGACAGCTCCAGGGCGACGTTGAGCCCGATAATCCCCGCACTGTCAGACTGTCAGCGGGTCATTCTGCACCCGCAGGAACATTGCCAACACTTACCCCAGAATGACAATGCTATCACGTGCCATTGGTGCTTTCGGCTTTCCAGGCTGGTCAGTCAGTTGGAGGTGATATATTCTGTCGTACCTGGGGAACCGGCGCAACGCGTTTATAAGCGGGGGTGTCAATCAGACCACACGTGGACGGCAGGGATGGAGGACAATTGCCGCGCTGCTGCCCTCCGATTGGCGCATTCGGGTCCATCCGGATATCTGTGGGGCAGCATCCCCGATAACGAAGGGGATTGGTTCGGTCCCTCTCAAGCTTATCGATTACATCGGGTTAATCAGATGGTTTATCAATTTCTTGATATGGCATCCTGATCGTCTCACGAAATGGAATCTAAGCGAAATGTTGGGTTTCAATTATGACTGATTGATCCATAACAGAATGAATAACAGAATGAACTCCCTCAAGCATGATGTGCATTACAAAATTCACCATGTCATGTGCCGATTACACTCTACCCTCATCCCCGTCAGCAGCCTCAACAGACTCAAGGAGAAACCGGCTGATCAAACGCCCGCCCAAACAACAAATAAAACAACGCACCCGCAACAAATCCCACAATCCCCAGCGATCCATACATCCAAACCAGATACGGGTCTTGAGAGACCGGTGCCAGTGCGATACAGATAGCAGCGGCAATACCAATAGTAAGCCAGAACAGGGCCGAAACGAGAGACCGGAGGCTGTAGTTGACAGGGTCAGTTAGGCACATGCATCTGTGTCAAGAAAGGGATAAGACGGCGTACCTCTCTGGTGCTTTGGTGTACGCAATCTCCAAACCCGTGATAATTACAAATGCCTCGGAGAATCCAACGAGGACATAGGCGGGGGCTTGGAGCCAGACATGGATGCTGTTCGGCGGAGAGTTATATATGTAATGCTGAAGGACGGAGGCGTAAACCATGGACAGTGACGCCAAGATGAATCCGGCGGTTACCCTCAGTTCTGGCCGAAAGTTGATCTTGTATCGTCGAAGTACAGGGTATACAATGACTATCTGTGTCAGAATTGGTATGTGGCGATCGATGGAGCCAAACTTACAGTCTAAGAGAGGAATGAAGATAATCAGAGCAATGGGATCGAGATTTTGTAGAAGATCATTCGGTGTCCCGTGCAGGGCCATTTGCCCCGCTTGTGAAATTAGGTTGTTCCAGATCTGGGTCCAGCAGATGAAGTAGAAGGGGAAAAGGAGGAAGAGCTAGAGATCATTAACGACGGACTCATGGTACATAAAGACTCTGGTACTACCTTGCAGGCCGTGATCCCGGTTTTCACCTTCTCAACCGTGTAGTCTGTGTATTCGGCGCGATTAGCAAACGGGTACCGATCTAGCTTTCCGTGCTCCCGGAGATGACTGGGTTTGGCGTTCTCAAAGCTCTTTTCCGCAAGAGCAATACGAACTGTCCGCGCTGCATCCACAATGGGCGAGCCTTGTGGTCTTGTTTTGAGGAACAGTTTGCTGCTACCGACGAATAAGACTCCAACAATGACGATGACTCTGTCTAGCGGTTAGATGATTGGTAACAGTATCTGAGAAGGGATGCTTACATGAGAGGAATGAGAAATGCGAGCCAAAAAGAGGCCTTGGCTTCGACGTTGACGGTGATCAAGGGCGACAAGGCGCCGATATTAACCGCCCAGTAGAACCTTGATATGTTAGAGAGACTTGAAAGTGAGATGAGACGAACATACCACATAAACATTCGCTCTACAGTCAAATTAGGGTCCACTACCACGCGCTCCCCCGACTTCAACGTCTTCACATATGCATGCACCTTCTGATACTGTTCCGCACAGAAAGGAGTGACGTTTGCCTTGATCCCCCCGGTTCCGAGTCCGATGATTACCATAGACGTGACGAGACCGCCAAAGGCAGCGCCACCTTTGATGGATGCTGGCGTGGCTGTGGCCACCAACACAACAAGGCCCACTATATACACTCCGCAGGCGACAAGAATCGCTTTGAACTTCCCAATATATTGGTCTAATCACACTAGTTAGTGGCGAAGGGAGGTAGACGCTGGTCTCGTACCTGCAACTATGGCACCGATGACTGTGGATGCGTAAGCCCAGAACTTGAAGAAATTGCCCAAGGCTGTAGCGATTGATTGGCCTTTCGCCAGTGCACCTGGTAGCTCTGCACTTGGATCATATGGGTTTCTGTCTTCGATTAGGATTGCGATGGTTATGTGATGCAAGAGGCAGACTCACTTGATATAATTCTGCAACGGCCCACTGAGCCCAAAGTAGGTGAACCGTTCGCCCAGTTCGACGATAAGCACGAGCATAACAACCCATGGAATGCGGTCTGGAACTCGTCGAAGCCCGACCTCGTCTACTGGGATAGGGTTCACAGTTTGGCAGTCTTTGGAGAACACTGGCTGTGAGTCACCGGGTGAGGGTAGGTCTATTTTCTTCGTATCTTCCGGCATATTGGCTGTGTAGTAGGTGGATCAAGAAACAGAACCAAAGTCAGAGACCAGACGCTGGTGTATGGTCGATAGTTGAAGATGAAAACATATATTGACGGGGACCCAACTCATAACCCCGCGTTCCTATCACTAGGGCCAGGTTAGTCCTGTCTGTGAGCGATAAGTGATAGGCAATCGGGCGTGGAATACCACCAACCTCGAAGCCCTGAAGAGCCTATCTCAAGATTGGGGCAACTCCGTCTGAATGCTGCCAATGGGACTCTACTCGCTCTGTTACTGACATTGACAATATCTCATCCAACATGACCACTATCACGGAACCAACTAGTTATGGCTCGCAACTCCTAAAAGCCACCACCGAGCAGAATGCAACCCCAAAGAAATAAGCCCCCGGTTTGGACCCGGCGTGGCGTCAAATGTGGCTGGATCACGGAAAGGACGTCTCCGGAGTGCACCCGGTCACCATTGAGGAGTTTCTCCAATGCCCTGACGTATCCTACCTGAACAGGTAGGTTTATCTTCACCATTCTGAATTCACGGCAGAATACTGAGTCCGATAGGTCCCGAGATACATAACGCCCATGATGTCCACGTCCCCGTGTCCGAGCCAACAGGGTCCATCACCTTCCGCTGTCTATCATGCATGCGCCTCCTCTCATGGAACAGAGCTGTCAATACTCGAGTGCTATCTTCATGTCTGGTCTCCCGTGATCACCTCACGCTAGGGAGTCCTGATTGCTGAATTATTATATTGGGAGGGATCCGGTTAAGCGAACAGAATTCCTGTCAGACTGGAGGATGATGCCGGACCTAGCTCCCTCGTTCAAAAATCTAGCACCAGCACATATTCTCACCACGGAGTTAGATATTAAGCGAGATGAAGGGCAGTATTACGGGCGCCTCCTGACAGATGCTGGAAATACTGTGACGATGAAGCGGTATCCGGGTGTTCCTCACGCATTTGCTCATTACAATCGTCCAGAAAGAGGGTTGTGTCAAACCATATCTACAACCATATATTACACCTTACCTACCACTAAGTGGGTTGCCCATTTTTGGTAGTGTAATGGTCATTTAGGTTGACAGGTTGAGTAAATGTCGAGAGTTTATCAAGAGCTCGGCGGAGTTGTTGCGGAGAGGTCACCGTGGAGATTCTGTATTCTAACACTGACCTAGAAATGCAAGACAACCATTCTACGTATTCAGGTATGACTGTTCTTAGTTGGTGTCGCTAGAACAAAACGGAGCAAGAGTCATAGCCACTTGCCACTGGCGCAGTACTATCTAACCGAGGCCCTTCCCCTGAATATAAACACACGACGCCCTCTTCCCTTCTTTCGCAGCAACTACCTCATACGTGTCTTTGAACAGCCATGGAGACCAGAAAAGTCTTCCCGCAATTCCAGCAGCTCCACATCGAGATCCGCCTCATGATCTGGCGAGAGTGTCTACCATCCCGAGTGATCGAGATCGATTTCCCTGCTGATCGCAACCGGCCGTATAAATGCACTCTGGTGTGGCCAAACCGTCAAACCCGATTACCACCAGCGCTCACGAAAGTATGTCGGGAGTCACGCTGCGTTGCCCTCAAGCATCGATCGAAGGAAAAATACCCCGACGAGGAATACCCTGATGATCCAATTCGGTGGTTTAGTCCTAGACTAGACACTGTATTCATGCACTGGGAAAAAAACCGACACTATCGACATGTATCCCGATATCAACCGCATTCCGTAATTGTTGTGGTACGCCGATCGTTGCCGGGCCGCCGGCATCGATGCCTCTATTATGCATGCATTCGATAAGGGACGCGGGCACACGGATTGGAAGGATCCTTTCTTAGAAACCATTGCTCAACGGAACGACTACCTCGTCTGTTTGGAGGTAGTGACCATCCATGCGACCCGCGCCGCCGCAGCAGAGTCAGGCTTGTTTGGCTTGCTGTTAGATGCCCCCATACAGCTGGTCGACGCAACCGACACGAGCAAAATCGCCAAGTTTCATGAGTTGTGGGCATCAAATTCAGCGCTGGATACGACTCCCTCGAGTTTCTTCAGGGACCAAGTGTCGTTCCAGGTTCGTGTGCGGCAGTGGCTAAAAGAGCTCGTAGCACTGTGGGTATATTATCCTTGGATGAAGGCTTGGAAGGATAAATGGCAAGGAGTTATTGATCCGGAGGGGATTTGGCTGGGTCCTCGCATCGATGAGGATGCGTTCCTGCGGGACATGCTGATCCCAGGATGTCTAGAGTCGGACCCTGGGCCACCGTTCTGTGTCGACTATAATCTCTTTTCTCCCAATATGGATCATCCTTTTGCGCAGGAGGCTTTAATAGTGATGCCTCAGTTCCGACCGCGAGTGATGTTTCGATACTGTCCTTTAGATTGTCACCTGCAAAAACAGGGGGGTATGGGTAGCCGGTGATGGATACAATAGATGAAAGTAATGAAAGAATCTTATGTATGAAGGTACTAGAACTTGAATACCATTGCGTCTCAGTATACAGTATCCGTCCAAAAGCAGCATAAGACGGCCTGGTAGACCGCAAATCGCGTTGAAACTGCGCCAGCTTGTCTTTCAGAGAATGCTCTCCCGGATCGAATGGATTGTCTTCCGATTCAGCCTCCATGATATCCAGCTATCTGATAGTGGTCGTTAATACTCTACCACCTTGAACTTGTATTCAACTAGGCCACGCTGTTCTAAAGTTAAAATTTATAGAGAGAAATTATGTCTATTATTATCTGGGGAGTCGGAGTTCATTGTTATTGAAGGAGAATATATATCTTGGAAAGTACTCCACAGTGTTTGATGCATAGAGCTAGACACATTGTACACGTTTTATAGCTCCGCCGAAAGCCTCAAACGGTCTCCTATCATCTCCGTACCACTTCTCTGACAGTGTTTACCTACCGAGGTGTGCAAGTGAGTCATACTATGGTGAATCCTCCAGGCCGACTCGAACTATGACTGTTGCTGATAGTGGACCGAACTAGCCAATCATAGCGGTTCTTTATACATGAAAGACCCTGCGGTTCAGACCGTCAACAGTGCTCGAGTGGTGCCTGTCTCTTAGGCAGAAGTGGGATGAGAGTTGATGCCTGGAGTACAAGGGCATACTTGTAGACAGCTACTTCTGTATATATAAAAATCTCACTCGATTACTCTGTAGATGAGTCGCTGTGCATACTTTCTGGCCTCTGATTGCGATAAGATAGGCGATAAGGTACTCACGTGACCGACCCGCCTCGGCCTTATCCGACTTTTTTTTTCTTCGTCTTTCCCGCTTGCGGCAACTCTCGTCCACTCTCCCCTCCCCATTGTCGATCGCCGCAAAGATGAAATACGTTCTGGTCTCTGGAGGTAAGCCTCACCGGTTGGCACGCGGTAGTCTGTTTCCTAATGAGCGCTCTCCTCCCTAGGTGTCATCTCCGGCGTGGGCAAGGGCATCATTGCCTCCAGCACCGGTCTGCTCCTCAAGACCACCGGGCTCACCGTCACCAGCATCAAGATCGACCCGTACATCAACATCGATGCGGGAACTATGGCCCCGACTGAGTCAGTATCAGCATCTGTCATTCGGCGCGGCGACGTTTATTGACATCACCTCCCCTTGCTAGGCACGGTGAGGTCTATGTGACCGATGACGGCGGTGAAATGGATCTCGACCTGGGCAACTACGAGCGGTACCTCCTCACGTCCTTGACTCGGGACCACAACATCACCACCGGCAAGATCTACCAGAACGTCATCACGAACGAACGTGTCGGCCACTACCTCGGCAAGACCGTGCAGGTCGTGCCCCACGTCACCGACGCCATCCAGGAATGGATCGAGCGCGTCGCGAAGATCCCCGTCGACGAGTCCCGCGCCGAGCCGGACGTCTGCATCATCGAGCTGGGTGGAACCGTCGGAGATATCGAGAGTGCCCCGTTCATCCACGCCCTGAGCCAGCTGCAGCGGAAGGCCGGCAAGGGCAACTTCATTCAGATCCACGTGTCCTACGTGCCCGTGATCCCCCCGGGCCCCGGCGGCGAGCAGAAGACGAAACCCACGCAGCGAGCCATCAGTGATGTGCGGAGTGCTGGTCTCAACCCCGACCTGATTGCGTGCCGCTGCGAACAGCCCCTGGAGCAGGCCACGATCCAGAAGATCGCCAACATGTGCTCCGTCGAGCAGCACCAGGTCATTGCCGTCCACGACGTCACAACAACCTACCACGTGCCTCTGCTCCTTGAAAAGCAGAAGCTCATTCACACAATGACCGAGATGCTGAACCTGAAACAACACACCCCCGCGCGGATCGAGGAGGGCAGCCGCATGTGGAAGGACTGGGTGGATCTGGCCCGCGGTCAGGATTTCCTTCACGACACCGTGTCGATTGCGCTGGTTGGAAAGTACACCACTCTCCATGACGCGTATATCAGTGTGTCCAAGGCACTGGAGCACGCTGCCATGTACTGCCACAAGAAGCTGAAGATGATCTGGGTGGACTCGTCGCATCTCGAGGAGGAGACCGCGTCCCCGGCGGACTTCCACAAGGCCTGGCATGCGGTCTGCACCGCTGATGGTATTCTCGTCCCCGGCGGCTTCGGTGTTCGGGGTACGAAGGGTATGATGAAGGCGATTAAATGGGCGCGGACCAACAAGACCCCCTTCCTGGGTGTGTGTCTCGGTATGCAGCTGGCCGTGCTGGAATACTGCGAGAACGTTGTCGGTATCGAGGATGTGGGAAGCGAGGAACTGCATCCCCATGCCGAGAATCACGCGATCGTCTACATGCCCGAGGTCGACAAGGGCAAGCTTGGTGGAACCATGCGGCTCGGCAAGCACCCTTGCATCTTCCAGGAGAATACGGAGTGGTCCCGTCTGCGGGCGCTCTATGGACAGTCTGTGTCGCAGGTTGAGGAGCGTCATCGTCACCGGTACGAGGTCAACCCGGCCATGATCGACCAGATCGAGAAGGCCGGTCTTACCTTCATCGGTAAGGACATCAAGGGCGAGCGGATGGAGGTCGTCGAGATCAAGGACCACCCCTGGTTTGTGGGTGTGCAGTTCCATCCCGAATACCTCAGCCGGGTGTTGAGCCCTGCCCGGGCCTTCCTCGGGTTCTTTGCCGCCGCCGCCGGCTGCCTGGACGAGGCGACCAAGGCGCTCAACCAGGGCCAGCGGAGCATCGGCAGAAAGCAATAGATTTATGTGGCTATGGGGAGGGGGAATGATGTGCTGGAGTTTTCTTAAAACGGGAGGAATTCGTTTTGCCTTTTTGGGCGTTAAAATCTCTAAACCAATTTGTATAGACAGTGCAATGCAGTTAGTGGTTAATAGCTGAAATGACTTGATGTCAAGTAGCAGTCGTGTGATTGCAACTAATGCTACTTATAGAACTGGAACTCGCAGCAGTCTGTATCCTCAATCCCAGAATCTGTGTGACTACCGGAATCGCACCGTAAACCCTTAGAAAGTAGTTCCATTGCAAGTGACCTAGGCCTTAGGCTTATCCTGACACTTGCCTTCGGTCTGACCCTGGACCTATGTTTGATCAAGTTAGCACTCTGTTATGTGGCTTGTTTACTCCAGGACAGCAAAGAGATCAGTCAACATACCACGAAACAATAGCCACTCTTGCACCAACCCAGACTGCCATCCAGCTTGCAAGTGGCACCATTTTCAATCTAATAAATGTCAGCTGAAGTTGCTCGTTGTAGATAGAAAGACAGGATGCGCACCGGACTCGGAGTGCTTGAACTGGTGGAAGCACTACTGCCACTGCTTGAGCTGCAGCTGCCATCTGCGACAGCGAGGCCGAACA